CCATCCATGTTGTTGCAAATGGCACTATTCCATCCTTTCTTATGGATGAGTAGCATTTCATTGTATATATGTATCACATCTTCTTTATCCTGTCTTCTATCACAGGACACTTTGGTTGTTTCCATGTCTTGGCCACCGTAAATAATGCTGCAATGAACATAGGGGTACAGATATCTTTGTGAATACATGGTTTCGAGTTTTTTGGGTATATACCCAGGAGAGGGATTGCTGGGTCAGATGGTCACTATTCTTAATATTTGAGGAATCACTGGACTGCTTGCCATAGCGGTTGTACCAGCCTACATTCCCACCAGCAGTAAATGAGGGTTCCCTTTTTTTCCACAAGCTCCTCAGCACTTGTTATTGATTGTCTTGTTGATAATAGACACTCTAACAGGTGTGAGGTGGTATATCATTGTAGTTTTGATTCTCATTTCCCTAATTGCTAGTGAAACTGAACATCTTTTCATATATCTATTGGCTGTTGGGATGTCTTCTTGGGAGAGGTGTATTTTCAGGTCCTTGGCCCACTTTTTAATTGGGTTGTTTGTTTGTTTGTTTGATGTTGAGTTTTATGAGTTCTCTATATATTTGGGAAATTAAACCTTTGTTGGAACTAATGTTTGAAAATATCTTCTATCTGGTTGACTATCTCTTTGTTTTGTTGTCAGTTTCTTTAGCTGTGCAGAAGCTTTTTAGTTTGATATAGTCTCATTCATTTATTTTTGCCTTTACTTCCCTTGCCTTTGGGGTCTAGTTCAGAAAATGTTCTTTACAACCAAGGTCCATAAGTTTGGTTCCTATATTTTTGTCTATATAACTTATTGTTTCGGGTCTTATATTTAGGTCTTTAATCCTTTTAAATTAATTTTTGTACATGGGGAGAAACTGTAATCCAATTCCATTCATTTGCATGTGGCTTTCTAGTTTTCCCAGCACCATTTATTGAAGAGGCTATCTTTACTGCACTGTGTGTTTCTGGCTCCATCCATATACATGTGGAAGAAACATTTCTTGCCGGAAGCTGGTCCATCCTTGCTGCTTGACACAGTTGCTGCAGGGAAGAATCATCTGCACAGCATATGTTTTAAGGGACCTGGCATATATGGCATACTGTTCTTAATATGTTTGCTCCCCTTCTTAGCACTATATGTTTTAACCAAGGTCATCTCTCCAAGAAAGGTTGTTTCCCCAGGTGGGGATTTTTCCCTGGAGTTAGGGATTAACAGGACTAAGGAAGGGAATAAATCAGTAAAACCTTTTAACTAAGTGCCAGGCGGGTAGTTAATCACTTTAACTATGAACAATTATGCTTAAGCTACATAATCTTTACTTAGGATAATCTCCTTCAGTTACTTCCTTGTAGTTTAACAGAACAATAGAATAGTGACTTTGGAATGGAGGTAATGAATGCCCTAACCTTTGGAATAGAATGGATAGGATTAAAATCAACTGGTATAAATAAAGATGTAACAGGACAATAAAGAGAGAACCTGGCTATGATGATTGACTGAACGCTGCCTCCGTGTCATTCCTTCTTCACCGACTCTGTCCACACCTTTGGGAACCCCTGGACCTGCTGGGGCTGGACCCCAACAATTTCTGACAACTCAGTAGGCAAAGGGGAGAAGCACTGAGTGTGGTTCCCTCACACAGGGGAGGAGGGGTTTGCGTTAGGTTGGGAACACAAAGTTCTGCCTAGAGATAGAAGCTAGAGGCCCTCACAGGAAGCACAGTCCAGCTTCACAGCATCTCAGTCTCTGAAACTGAACTGAGATGATCCCAGATTGCTAGGGCTCTCAGGGGCCTAGCAAAAGCACGTATAAAGCCCTCTCTGAAGGAAGATAACACCATCCAAGGCCTCAAATTACTTTTATAAACAATTTTGCAACTGCAATATCCAGCACAAACTCAACAGTAGCTAAACACCAAAAGAGTCTTGAACACATGAAGGAAAATGAACAGAAATGTCACACCATATAATCAGACCTAAAGGAGCTCCAGATATTAATGTTAACAGAACCCAGATTTTAAAATCAGAATGAATCCATCACACAGATGGTATCCCATATAATAAAAGCCTAATATGCAAATTTTTCCCTTGGTGGTCGACTGGGAGTTCGACCGCTCATTATGACGTGCGCTGACCACCAGGGGGCATTGTGGAACATGGCAGGTGTCGGCAATGTGGCACTGGCAGTGGATGGAAGAGGAGGCACTGCCGGTCCCAATGGGCCCCTACAAGAACAGAACCACGGCAGTATGGTGGAGCAAGTGAGTGGGTGGCACCAGGCCAAGGTGGGCACGAATGGGGGCCCATCAGCAACCAACAGTGCCTCCTCTGCCATCTGCTGGCAGACGGCGACCAGTGGTGGTGGTGGGATGCGGGGCTGCTGCCTGACTCCCAGGCGCTGAGGGAGCTGGGCGGGGGGGTCTGGTCCCAATTGATCGCCCTGCAGACTGGATGGTGGAGCAAGTGAGGGGGGTGGTGCCAGGTCAAGGCAGGGCACCAGGCAGGGCTGCAGGGCTGTGAGGATGGGGGCGTGAGCTGGGGCCTGATCTCCACAGGCCACCCCAAGGGACCCCACCCATGCACGAATTTGTGCACAGGGCCTCTAGTTTCTGTTCATAAAAATCACCTTTAACAAATTACATTAGGAGGGTGATCATAAGAGACATGAGAAGTAAGGCAAATGTCTGGAGGTGCTTTGTCCATATGTCCTGTTCCTGGACTGAAGGAGGCAGCCTTACAGGCCTTGAGGTAAGATGGTCATGGGCGAGGAGAGGGAAAAGGCCACTAATGGGAATGGAGAAGGGGGAATTGAGATGGAGATTCTCAGAGCCCGTGCTCTGCCTTTAGATGATGTATCCAGAGAGGGATCCCAGTGTCTGGGCCTTTCTCTGGATACAATTCAGGATTATTGATCCAGAGCTTCAAAGCTTGAAGGGTTCTTCAGGACTTGAAGAATAAGACAGGGTATCATTAAATTAGAGAAATACAAGAGTTACAAGATGATTTTGGAATTAGAACTATTGAGAAGATAGTAGTTTGGGTATCCCTCAACATTCAGGACCACCCATAGAACTATAAGCTTTAGTTATCTGAGTATCATCATTGCCTACTTGACTATGAGTTCCATGATATCTGGAGTGATGTCTCTCTTACTATGGTTTTCCTGGTATTAAGCAGATTTAGATGTTAATGAAATTGAACTGTATTGAAATAACCTATGTGAAGTCACTCAAGTCAGTGAATAGGGTGGTATTCAATTCAACATTTATTAAAAACAGCTAATACTTACATAATACTAATATACACAAAGCACTGTAGACTTTTTCATATATTAACTTTGAAGACCCATTATAATCTTACTAGGGGCCCAGTGCATGAAATTCATGCACAGGTAGGGTTCCTAGCAGTTGCCAGCTGCTGGCCGGGGCCTCCCTTTCCCAGGATGCCTGCTGCCACTGCCAACCGGGGTGGGGCCAGCCGGGGGAGGGGTCGAGGGTGGTTGGACAGACAACCCCGCCCCCTTGGTTGAACTCCCAGTCGAACTCCCGGTCGAGGGACAATTTGCATATTAGGCTTTTATTATATAGGATTCCATAGGTCTTTTAGGATTCTCATTTTACAGATAAGAAAACTGAAGCACAGAAAGGCTAAGTAATTTTCCTGGGTTTACATGACTAGTAATGGGGTGGAGGGGTTGTATTTGAAGGCAGGTGGTCAGGCCCTACAGCCCAAGATACTAACTACCACTTCCCAATTCAATGGAAAAATATTAAGGATTCCACCCTAGATTTCTTCTTGCTAGATGATTCCACTATACTAGACTGTCCTCTTTTCTAGAATGCAATTAGTTCACCTAGAACTGTGTCTTGACTCTGAATTTTCTTTTTGCAAAAGGCTCATCTTACATATTTGTTTTTTAAAAATATATTTTATTGATTTTTTACAGAGAGGAAGAGAGAGGGATAGAGAGTTAGAAACATCAATGAGAGAGAAACATCGATCAGCTGCCTCCTGCATACTCCCTATTGGGTATGTGCCCGCAACCAAGGTACATGCCCTTGACCAGAATCAAACTTGGGACCTTTGAGTCCACAGGCCGATGCTCTATCCACTGAGCCAAACCAGTTAGGGCCATATTTATTTTTTTAAATAACTATTTACTTAGAAGGCTAAGCATTGTACATATATTTAAAGCATATAAGAGTGTTGATGTGCTGGATCAAAGTGTGCTGTTACCCAAATGAGTTACTTTTTAGTGCAAATAAGTCAGTTCCATCTTATCCAATAGTGGCAAAACCAACTAAACTGATAATATTTTCTCCATGAAGTTTTAGTTGAAACATGTTTGATTGACTAAATTAATTTTTTGAAAGGACCTCAGATTTTTCTAATTTAAATTTGCTGCATTTTGCAATTAGGGGACACAATGTTTGCAATAACATGTAGTTTACTCTGCCATTTTGTAAATGGTCTAGTGACTTTTGAACCACTTGTCTCAGTCAAGAATCCACTGCCTAGAGTGGGTATTTTCCTGTTTGAAGGCCATTAGTATGTTTGTCAGAATAATAACTGTATTTTCTACACATACATATTTTTAAAGACATTAGTTTGTTATGTTAGCATGCCAATTTCAGGTATCAAATATATGCTTCATATCTGTGATTTGATCAAATCAATATGTATAAAACCTTTTATTATCAATTTTATTTAGACATCAATATTCTTTTTAGCCAGATTTGTTATCTACTTAAGGTCAATACAGAGCATAAAGAGAATTTCCACAGAATTAAACCATCATTTACTCAAATTTAAATTGAATGATGTTTACTAAGATATTATAGTATTTGAAAAAATTGCATGTTTTAAGCAATGTACAGTGAACCCAGTTGAAGAAATCTCTCCACGTTATTAAAAATACTGATACAAAAGGAAAGGAAAGCATTTTAGTCAATTGAGAAATGTATTCCCTGTGGGGTGAGATATTTCGTAGTGAAAATGTTGTTATGAGGTGGACAGAGGTCAAAAGCAATGCAATCTGTGAACTCAATTCACCCATGTTCCAGCTAATATTGAACAAGTGAAGGCTTTCATGGACGTATCATTTCTTATCCCCCATTGCAGTTCCTAAAATCATGAATGCTTTAATTGCACTTAAAAAAACAAAATTAAGTGAAGCATTACTAATTACTTAATTTAAGTCAAAATTAAGTCAGGCATTTGCTGGATGATTTTATGGCTTTCTTGAAGCACTGTGAATATTCCACAGAAAAAGTACCTGCATTATAATAAACAGTGATTACCATACCCTATATCTTCCATTCAGCCTCCAGATCCACACTCCTTCCTTCTCCATGGATACAATGGGGACCCAACCTATAAGAACCACAGCAACACGTTCGCTTGCTCCATGACTTGCTATTGGGTTGGCCGTTTGGGTGCCCCTGCAGATGAAAGGAAGAAAGGGGAGTTGCCTCAGGATGATCCTGTCTCTGGAAAGATGGCACAGTTTTCCTCAAAACACATGATTTTCTCCTTGTAACTTCCAGTACCTTTCTCTCCACTCTTCCCTTTGATCCTGGGGGTGGCCACATCTCTGCTGATATCAGCCCCAATGTGCTGCCCTGTCTCTTGAAATTTCCCTGTACCCTGAACACCTCTTTTCTATAGTCTTTTCATGAAACATATACCTCTCTCCCAGTGAATTAGCTCAATTTGAGTGTGCCATCAGATTCTACTGGAGGCCCTGGTTTATAAAATTAACATAAGAAAATATATTTTAAGCTCTCCAATGTAATAAAATACATTTAGAAGTTGTTATCTAATTCTTCTGAGAATCAAGAATGTATAACCTCCCTTTTGCTTCTAAATAGTTTAAAACATTTTAAGTAGATTAACCAAAGAACTTACTAAATCCCTCTTTTATCTGTTACTGGACAAGAAAAATGACTTGATATAAACCTCTGACTTAGAAGACTGTCCTTCATTTTTTCTTGAGCACCTATTATGTACCAGGCACTCAGCTAAGCCATGGAGATGCAACGATTGATAAGAAACAGTCCCTGCCTCCAAGGATCTCAGATGGATAAGCTGATAATTATAGCGCCATTTGGCAAGTATGATGATGAATAAGAGAAAGAGCATTATAAAAACTCAGTCTGGAAATACAAGTGAAAGTTTCTTGTTGGATTAGATTTTTTTTTTTTTAAGATGGAAGAAATTGAATCTTTTTATGGCCTAGACTAGGGAAGGAGCAAATTCCAGGAAGAGATGCCAGAGTAAGAACAAAATTAAGAGTGCATCTTTTTGGGGGAAAAAAAAGAAATAAATAAGAGATACCTTTTGTTTACTTGGATGATGGAAGGCAGAGTATTTTAACTTATTAAAATCAGTTCAAGTACAGCAATCCAGGACTGTATCTCAACCTCAGAATTTATTATCTCTCAGCCATCTGTGACCAACAGTCCCTGCGGAACTGTTCCAAATGTATTCTCCAACGTCAAATCTATGAGAGAAACAAAAAACTGGCACCTTTCAGTAGGTGAACATCTGGATTCATTTTGAACAGGTAAGAACCATGTACCTGATATTTTAAATTTTAATGACCACAAGGACCAATGTGGGATCACATTCTATTGTAATAAAGTAGAAAGATTTAAGTAGGTAAGCTGGAAGAATGCTGACTGGTTAGAACACCAAAGGCCCACAAAATGGCAGAATACAATTTTGAAGATTTACTAGTAAAACAGCAGGCTCTGGGGGAAAAGTGTTCAACTTAGGGTTCACAGTCCCCAATTTTGTTTAAATGGAAACAGTCATTTCAAAAACTTTCTTGAAAATGCTATTTAGGAGAAACCAAGATGGCGGCATAGGTAAACACCAGAAATTGCTGCCTCCCACAACAAATTCAAAAATACAACTAAAAGACAAAACGGACATCATCCAGAACTATAGGAAGGCTGGCTGAGTAGAAATTCCACAACTAGAAGGAAAGAGAAAAGCACACTGAGACTCAGAGGAGCTGCAGAAGTAAAGTGCAGAGGTATGGAGACGCACAAGCAAGGGCTGGCAACTGAGGACGCGGTTGTCTTTTTGAATCGGGAGGGAGCCACAAGCCCCCGACTGCTCTGAACTCCAGTTCCGGATGAGTCTCTGGGGACGTAGACTCATACGGGGAGTAACTGGACGGTCTGGCAGCGGGCAGAACTCGGAAACTCAAGGGCAGCTTTCTCTCAAAGGTGCTTGCAGCACTGAGATTCGGGGC